AAAGTGACTTGCCCACAGCCACACAACTAGTTAGAGCCATGCTCAGCCCTGTTGGTAGAGACTGTTCAATTCGGAAGACGGACATTTTCTAGGTCCTAATCCTGATTAATCATAAATTTAAATATACAATTGTTTGAAGAATTTTTGTCCTTTTTTACGAATTAAAAAATAAGAATCCTGAAGAACCTTATTCTCTTGGTGAAAACATTTTTAAAATTCATCTAAATTCAGTCAGCAAATTGAATAATTCAATATCATTCTAATTATTTACTATAATGTCAAAAGCAAAGCATAATAGGAAAAGTACTAAACTATGCATTTATTGTCTGAGATTGTTCAGCTGTTATGATTTCAGGGAAAAAAAGAGGGGGTTCCAATAAAATACTCTGCAAATCACAGCCACCAGGCCGAATTTTACAAATGACTCTATTCTCCAGCTAAACTCATCAATAGCGGTTGTTGAAACTGTTTCCCTCTCTCCCCTCAATTTCTTTTCCATCCACTTGCTCTCAAGAAGTGACTATCCTCTGTAAGTTGCAAGGTCAAGGTCATATGGTATATATACATACATATATATCCTCAAATTCACTTTTCCATTTCCCAATATTCTCTGTATTCTAAACATTATGTACATTTCTTTTCCTCTAAAGGATGACTTTTTTCCTTTCTGGTTATGATTAAACTTGGGCCCTCAAACCTTTCCCCTCTCTTACCTAGGTCAGGATATTTCTATATTATTTATTTCTTTCATGTTTCTCATCTCCATTGGCTCCCCTCCTCTTCATACTAACATGACCAAACCTTTCTTATAAAACAACTTCCTGTGATCCTGCTAACTTCTTAAACAATTTGTTTCACTCTCTCTTTTCCTACACACCAAACTTCTTAGAAGATTAGATGAAGCTACTTACATATACTCACTGCCCAATCATACTTAAAACACTTGCTTTCTGATTCCGTCATGGGAGTCCTGTTAACTGTAAAAGGTAACTGACAATCTATTCATCAGTATAGTTGACTTGTCACATGTTTCATTATCCTCTCTCTCTCTTAAAATATTCAATTCTATCTTCATTTATTCATTTATTCATATGTGTGTGTGTGTGTGTGTCGCTTACTGTGAACCTAAGCACTTTTCTGGGTAGTAAGAGTGGTAAATAAAACAATTTTGGTTCCAAATTGTATGAAGCTTCCAATCAAATATTTGAAACATACATGGTACAAAATAAATACACTAAAATTTTCATTTAAAATTTTGGCAAGTATGGTACAGAAATGAATATTATGGGGAAGATATCAGGCAGGATCTAATTTAGATTATGAAGTGCTTCCTGAAGGACACATAGGCAGGTAGAGTAGGGAATAATGCTTTGGATAGAGGGAAGAGCAAATTGAAGTCCCTAAGGTGCGAAAGAGTTAAGATGTTCAAGAAAGACAAAGATCAATGTGGCTGAAACATGGGCAGAGAGGAGAAAGTAGCAAGCAATTACAGTGAAGTAACAAGCACAAGAAAGATCATACAGGCCATGTTAAGAATTTCCCCTTAACTGCATGGAAACCCATAGAAGGAATTTAAGCTGAAGAGTAACATTCAATTTGCATTTACATAAGATCACTCTGACTGCTGGGTGCTTAATAGGTTAGAGGTGGACAAGAGTGGGAACAGGAAAACCATTTAACATGCTGTTGCGCATAGTCTGGGTTAAAAATGAGAATGGCTTGCCTTAGAACGACAGTAGTGGCTATGGAAAGAAGCAAATTGATTTATAATATACAGTTGACTCTTGAACAATGCAAGGGTTAGGGGGACAGACAACCTGCCCCCCCGCACGGTCAAAAATTTGCGTGTAACTTTTTACTCTTCAAAAACTTAACTACTAATAGCCTAATGTTGACCAGAAGCCTTTCTGATATATGGCTGATTAACACATAATTTGTAGGTTGTATGTATTAAATACTGTAGTCTTACAATAAAGTAAGGTATACAACAGAAAATGTTATTAAGAAAAGCATAAGAAAAAGTATATTTGTTATTCATTAAGTGTGAGTGGATCATTACAAAGGTCTTTATTCTCATCTTCATCTTCATGTTGAGTAGGCTGAGGAGGAAGAGGGGTTGGTCTTGCCGTCTCAGGGGTGACAAAGGTGGAAGAAAAATCCAAATATAAGAGGACCTGTGCGGTTCAGACCCTGTTGTTCAAGGATCAACTATATTTTGGAAATAGAATCTGCAGAATTTAACAGTACATTTGGAGGCATAGCAGGAAGAGAGAGGACCCCACATTTGGAAGAGATTTGAAGAGTGAAGGAGAATTAAAGGAAAAGATAAAAAGTTCTGCTATGTGTATTCTCTTCCTTAAAACCTTTCCTTAAACACTCTCTTTCTGACCTTTCAGTGATTTTACTTCTTTTTCTTGTCCTAAATGCAAACATGCTTCAAGACATGGCCTAGGCATTCTCTTCTTTCCCTCTTCAAGTCTCCTTCAATTTCACCTGATCCAAACTCCAACTCTAAGCAGATAGTTCATTATTCTTTCTTGATTCAACTTGAGCTATTCAATCCTGAGCTATGACTCACATTTTCAATTGTTTTGGGATCACTTTTCTTTAGATGACTCCTTTGTACCTCCAACTCAACTCAAAATTAAATTTTTGTTCTCCATGTCTACTATGGGTCTTATTTACATTATTATCACTACAATTTTATTGGTCACCTAGACTCATATGCATCATTGGCACCTGCTTCTTCCTTGCTCTTTGCTTCTGTTACTATGGTTTTACCAGAGGACTGTATAGCATCTTATGTTTCCATCTTCCTTATATTTCCCTGAAGTGGAAGCCCTGATTGTAACTTAAAACCCCATTATACTTTACCGATATTATTTCTATAACTTCCTATCTTCCTATCTCCAATATCTTTCCCATTCTATCAACCAATATATGACATTTAAAATAATCATCCTAAATGACAATTCTAATCATTTCACTTGTGCCTAAAATCTTCAATGATTCTATTATCTTCAAAGTAATTTCCAAATTCCCTCAAGAGTGTATTAAATGCCACTTAAGATCTGACCCCAATCTATCTTTTCCCTTGATTCCCAAATACCTTGAGCTTCTAGCCATCCTGAAAATTTGTTTGATGTTTTCACAATTCTGTGCCTTTGCTCACACCATCTGTGCCGCCTTCACCTTTTCTTACTGAAACCCTTCTTTCTTTAAAGCATAAAATGCTGTCTTTCCTCTCTCCAACTAGCAATAAATTCTTCTTATATTCCCCAATAGAATTAGAGTGTGCAGTGACTGAGAACAGACCTTTTTAATCTTCTGTCTCCTGCTGGGCTTAGCATACTCCCTTGCATACATTGGGAACACAGTAAACATTAAATTGAATTGACATATTAGCACTCTTCCTGATGAGTTTATAATGTGCCAAGTAATTTAGATAAATGTGATCTTAAAAGCAGATATATGAAATTCATATTTTTTTATATGAGCTGTTTATGGAACCAAAATCTCTACTTCACTCTGAATGGGCCTTCATAGAACTTAATTTAAAATAGTAATACATTTAAAAATTCCTGAAATTTTTGAACAGTTATTCAGATTTACTCATTTTTTTACACTTTCCATTTCTTGGGGACCCAGTAAAGAGCAGTCTTTATGGATACATTTAAATGCTGAGATATAATCAAAAAATTTGCGTACCAGTTTCTCTATCAACCAAAACAAACAGTAAGCTATTTAAACATTAGATTGATTTTCCTGAATTGAAAGCTTTGCCTTATCTAAAATTTTATGCAAGTTAGCAAAATGTGACTATCTCTAAATTTCAAGTAAATTCCATCAAGCTAAAGTTTGCCTCAGTTCTAACGATAGGATTAAGTCTAGTAATATGAATGATAAATTAAGAAGTGGAATGGTTACAGTAGATATAGAATCTGTAACAAAAATCCTGACTCAAAAACTTCTTAGATAATTCCTTAAAAGTAAAAGGAAGAGTTTGACCACTATAATTGTTTGCTTTTATACTCTTATTTATACCTAGCTAATACAACTCTTTAAAACATACTTTCCTAAACAAAAGTTTCTAGTCTTTAATTCTATAATAGCTGCTTTACTTTTTCTGATATGATTAGAGAAATGACAGAAACCCAAGGACTGATAATGCCTTGAGGTTATGCCAGAACCATTTTTAAAATAATAATTAAAATTATATGAAGAGATAATTTTATTTTAAACTTTCCACAAATCATTTTTGATTCATATATATCTAAAAAAAGTTATCTAGAATTATATATCGTTTCTGAGGATAAAAGTTCAAAACCACTTTTTCGTATTCAATAATAATTGCTGCTAAATCCTAGGGTTCCACATCTGCAGATTCAATCAACCTCACATCAAAAAAAATATTCAGAGAAAGAAATGAATGGTTATTTCTGTACTGCATATGTACAAACTTTTTTATCTTGTCATTATTCCCTAAATAATCCAGTATAACAACTATTTACATAGCATGAATGTTGTACTAGGGATTATAAGTAATTTAGAGATGATTTGAAGTATATGGAAGGATGTGCAGGGATTACATTTCAAATACTATGTCGTTTTATATCAGGGACTTGGGCACCCCATGTTTTGGTGTCCTTGGTGGGTCCTGGAACCAACTCCCCATAGATACTAGTTGTCTTATTTCAATCTCACAACCACCTTACCAAGTAAGTGTTACGAAGCCCAATTTAGAGCTGAGGAAAATGATAATGAGCTTAAGTTACTGGCTTGAGGTCACATAGCCAATACATCAGGCCTTGTTGGAGTCAATTCAGCCCACTGGGTGGCCTGTCTATACACCACAGCCAACCAGTGTCTGGATATTACATGAGCAAAAAAATGTTGAGGAAACATCCCCTAATATCAATGTATAAGAAATGCTCTGGCCTATTACACCGATTTCTAGCTCTTTCTTTAATTTTTTTTTCTTTTGCATTCCTTTCCTTCAGTTACTGGCAATCTTTCTGCTGCATTTTCTGTGATGGTAGCCGGCTTCTTTGAAATACAAAGGAAACGCTTCCCTCCAGTGGAGCAGCTTCTTTTAGGCAAAGTTCTCACTGTTTCCTCCATGCCTTGTTCCTACCTGGTTCTTCAGTACATTTTACTTGGAGTGGCTGAAACACTGGTCAACTCAGCTTGTGAGTAACTAATTTTTTTAAACTAACGTTAGAATATGCATTCTTTAGACAGAACACATCAACTCCACGAGAACAATTAAAGTAATAGGTGACCTCATCACCACCTGGAGCTTTCCCCAATGCTTCCAGAAAGCCTATTCATCACTCTCATTTTTGAAAACGCTTCATTTCTCTTCTTTCCTCTACCACATACAGAACAATTATTAATTCTGCCTGGATGTAGATGGTATAAAAGATTTACTAACTGGTTAAAGGCAATAACTATTTGGTCAGATACACAACAGGAGGGGAAAGAAACTGCTTAAACCTAGAAGACAACTCTAAAACACTCAGATGAAATCTCTCCTCTTCTCTCTTCCCTCTCCTCCTCCCTTCCTATCATTCACAAACTCACATATAGACTCCCTCCAAAAAACGACATTTGATGTGCTCTGACAGTGTATAAACATGCAAATGAAATGAAAATTTCCACCAATTTTCCAGATAACTCAATGTCTTTAAATTAAATGACACTAGATTAAATGTAATCACTAGTGTTTCATAAGACAGGTTCAAAATAAGTTTATTGAATATCAAGGGCTTCTAAATTGTCTAGATTGCTTATATTAATTAAAGTAACCACTTTAAAATGTATCACAATATTTCAGTAACTTCCTGCAATATAGTAGTGTGTGTATGCCTACATTAATCAGTGTAATCTCTCACATCTTATGTTTTTACCCTCCTTATATTTTCCTATAGTCGGAACCCTGATTGTAACTCAAGCCTCTATTATACCTTATTGATAATATTTTTATAACTTCTATCTTCATACCTCTAATATCTTTCCCATTCCATCAACCTGCCCATAACCTTTACAGTAATTATCCTAAGTGACAATTCAAATTCATTCTCTTGTGTCTAAAATCTTCAATAATCCTACTATTTTCAAAGTTATTTCCAAATTTCTTATATATACTTAATAAATATGTATTTACACACACATATATATACACACATATATCATACCAAAGCAATACATTAAAAAGGGAAAAATAAAATTGGGTAGTTATAATCATATATATGTGTGTCACACTTCTTTTATTGTACTTTTAAATCACTTCATTCTACATATTTTGCATGAATAAATTATCGTATAAGATTCTATGATGGGAACACCATTGTTGAACGCTGTGAGGAATACAAAATATGAGTAACTGTATGCCACTACACAAACGTTTGTGATCTTCCCTGATATTGTTTCCAGAAAACTTTTGGAAGTAGTCAGCCAAAATTTCCTGAGCTAGATGTAAAGTAATGAGTGAAGATAATGAGTGAATACAGGGAGAAAATTCCTGGCCAACTTACCAACAGTGGTTCAACATACAGAAGCTGGAGAGGTATTTATAATTGACTGTTAAAAAGGTAGATCATGTAATATAAATCACTTAGTCCACCTCTCCTTGATTAACTGATTGGGAAACTGAGGTCAAACTAGTAGTTAATTGACTCATCTGCTATAGGGGTCATTGGCTAAGGACCAGAAGACTTTGGTTTGATTTCTAGCTTTTCATTTACTACCTTTGTGAACTTGGGAACACATTTAACCTCCAAGCTTCACTTTTCTGATTTTTTTAAATTGAAACAATTATTATTATTTCACTTTTTTGTTGTTGTTGTTGTTGTTGCTGTTAATTTCAAAACCATATGGGTATACAAATATTTTTGGCTACATGAATCGCTGAGTCAAGCTATAAGTGAGCACACTTATACCACAGCATTAGGGTAAGAATCAATGGGAATGAGAGACTACTCCTTGAAAATCAAATGCCACAAAATGTGACAGGGTGTGTTGACCTGCAAAATCAAGCATTACTCTTCTGGGAGGCAGTACAGCACAGTAGTTAAGATCGATGGTCTTAAAATCAGAGATATCTGAGTTCAAACCTAGTTCTGCCACTGAGTAGCTATGTGGCCCTGGGAAAATTATGCTGCATTTCTGGGCTTTTCACATCATCTATAAAATGGAAAAGAATTGTTCAAAGGACTAAGGGAAATACTTTATGTAAAGCAAAAAGCAAAGTGCCTGGTATGTATACAGCATTCAAAAATTAGCAGTTATAATGCATGTTGTTATTATTAATATCATCTTCTTTCACGTCAACTAACAGTGCCAGACACGGGCACGGGTGTCCCAGCTCTTTATCACAAACAACTCGAACAGCCAGGAGACCTGGTATGAGCAAAATTGTCTTCCCCACATGGGTCATGCTAGATCCCTCTCTTTCCCTTTACTTCTCTCCAGCAATCCAACAGAAAGTCTTAGTCTTTACTCTGAAATAAAACCTAAACCTGACCATGTCTCCCCACCTCCTCTGCTATCCTCCGGGTCTACAGCACCACCATCTCCAGCCCCAACTCGACCAAGGCCTCCAAACTTGTCTCTCTGGCTCCTCTCCTGCCCCATGAGTCCATTCTCTTCAAAACAGCTATAATGTTCTTTCCAAAACATAAGGCCTGTCATTCCCCTGCTTAAAATTTCCCAATAGGGTTTTAGAGATAAGTTCCTTACCGTGGTAAACAAGACTGCACGTGCTTTGGCCTCCGCATACTGTTCCAGAGATATGTTGTTCTATTCTGCCCCTTGACCAATTTGCTGGACATTTTTCTGTTTCTAAGGTGCCAAGCTTATTTCTGTCCCAAGGTGTTTGCACTTACTCTTCTCTTTATCTGGAACTCTTTTTCCTCTGTTTTTTTGAATGACTGGCTTTTTCTCATGATTGAGTTTTCTCAAAGGTCATCTCGTTATAGAGGCTTTCCTAATCATTCTATCACTTTCCATTCCATTATCCTGTTCTTTTTTTTTTTTTTAAATATCGCTTGTCAGAATCTGAAATTACCTTATTTATATTTGTATGTGTATTGCCTGCATTTCACCTTTCTCCCTGAAGTCAGGAGTTTTTGTCTTCCTAGCTCATCCCTATATTTTTCAGTGTTCTTCCTTCCTGAAAAGTGCATGTACAGAGTAAGTGATCAATAAATATATTCTTATTGAATAAACAAGTGAATGAATGAAATCTATAGCTATTTTTATACAGCACAATAAAAATATATTATGCAAATTATTGGCAATGTTCTACATGGGTGGCATTAAGCAAGGAAGCTCAGTGGATCACTCTGCAAATGTCAGGGGACATTTTCTACCCTAATAAACCATGTTGTACATTGGAGATAAGCTAGAAAAAAATAAAAAGAAATGGAAAACTTTTTAACCTGTTTTAATTGTAGCAGTGTATACCCCAGCCATCCCATAACTTGTGCTTGTTTATTCCCAAAACACTGTGGGTGTTTTCATTGTGCCTAACACTGCTCTGAGAGTTTTAGACATATCAGGTTTTAAAAAAAAGACAAATATTTCTCTCACTGTAGAACTTACAGAATTTTTGTGCTTGAGTAGAACAGAGTAAGTTGGGAAGATGGAAGGGGGTAGTCAGAGGACGGTAGACAAAATTATAATTATGTAATAGTTACAGTTACTGATCCAGAACATGGGTTGGCAAATTTTTCTGTAAAGTGTCTGATGGTAAATAGGCTTTTCAGGCCACTTGCTGGTATAATAACTCAACTATGTCACTGTGGTGCAAAAAAGAGCCATTGATAACATCTAATGAATGGGTGTGGCTGAGTTCCAATAAAACACAGGTGGTGGGCTGGACATTATCTGGCCGTAGTTGGCCCACCCTTGGTCTAGGGTGCAAGGTACAGACCAGGCCCATGGGCATGAGCGGAGAGTGGAGAAGAAGAACATGGGAGGTCAAGGAACTAAGAAACCAAGATTTGGAAAGATGGAAAGTGGGAAGGATGATCTACGTTATATGTTAAAAATTGCCAAGAATTGAGGCTTAAGGCAGGAGTAGCACTGGACAGACAGCCTAACAATGAGAGAGGAGCTGCCAACTGTGAGAAATAGAGGAAACTATCCCAGAGATTGACAGATGACAGCACAAAAGCGAAGTAACAGATGACATAACCTGATAACATGAGATTCGAAGCTGAAGTTGTTTTGGGATAAGGGAGGAATGATGGTCTAAAAGTGGCAATGGGATAAGGTTTCACTTCCTAGGACTGTGATTCTTCTTCTCCGCATGTGCAAAATAACTTTTCACCAAACACAATAAACACATTTCTCTGTTTAAGAACAACTGGAATAAAAATTTTTTTTAAAATGCCAGCAATGAGTCCCCAGTACCAGGTGCCTTAGGAAGGTGGTTATGGCCCCATATTTTGTAGATTCCACATAAGCTGTGATGTGGCATCTTTGCAAACGCTAACCAGCTACTACCTGGGGGCACATTTTTAGCTCTCGTTGGCAAGAAGACCAGCTTTCACATACACGTTAAATATTTTTTATTGTGTCTTCATAGTAAAATGGGAATTTTAGAATAGTGACAGACTTGTTGATGATATCTATACTATATAATGGGCTAAAAGAAGTATCTTGGAGCCTAAAAAAATCATGTTGATGATCACTAAAGTTGAAAAAAGATCAGAACATGCAAGTAGATACCTGAAAAAAGAGATTTGAGGACTTGAAAAGCTAAGTCCTATAAAAGGGAACTGGAGGCTTTCAAAAACGACTAAAATGACACCAAAGAGAAATTAACCAGCAGGCAGAGAGCTGGCAAAGTATGTTCATGAATTATATACCATACCAGAAGTTCTAGCAAGAGAAAAGCGTAGGATTAATAATTAACTAGCAGAGTAATAATGGGCTTGTACATTCTGCTTTTTCTTAGTGAAAGAAACAGGCCTACTTACTCTCTCTGCCCGTTGTTTGTTTCCTCATATTTATAGAGAGGAAGGTTTATAAGCCAAATCCTTTTTATTTGTTTGTTTGTTTGTTTTTGAGATAGGGTGTCTCTCTGTTGCTCAGCCTGGAGTACAATGGCGTGATCATAGGTCACTACAGCCTCGAACTCCTGGGCTCAAGGGATCAGCCTGCCTCAGCATCCTGAGTGCTGGGACTTACAGGCAGATGCCACCATGCCCGACTAAGTTTTTCTATTCTTACTAGAGATGGGGTTTCACTCTTGCTCAGGCTGGTCTCGAACTCTTGTCCTCAAGAGATCCTTCTGCCTCAGTCTCCCAAAGTGCTGGTATTACAGACGTGAACCACAGAGCCAGGCCTGGAATCCTTTTTATAACTAGGAATCATTTTTTTCCTAAAGCCTCTTCAAAATTACTCTCTTGGACCTTCCTGGAGGTACTCAAAAGGCGTGGCCTCAGGCTCCTGCTGGTGATCGGTGCCTTGCCACCAAGATTTGAAGCTCTTCTCCACAGTATTTTACTTATCACTATTATTATTATTATCTTCATCACCAGTCAGTATTAAGTGCCTGTTTAGCACTGCCATATGTAATGCACATATTTCTGCTCTCTGCCCTTCCAGAGCTGACAGTCCAAGAAAGATAAACCGAGACCTTTTCCCATCTCTCAGCTCCAGCACTCAGAAGCACAAATAGGGACTTTCCTGGAACACAAATAGAGACTCCTTTAAATGTTTAAAAAATATGTGCAAGATACACAGACAGTGAAACAGAAATGTTAAATTAATGCAGGAAGGAACACGGATGCATTAGTAAGTTCATGTGAAAGTGCTGGGCAAACACAGAGTTTTATTGGAGTAAAGTACAAGAAAGCCAGGAGTGAAATATTCCTGAGAGAGAAAGGAGGAGATGATATGACCTCTTTCTTCTTATAGAGAAGGAAACTAAAAGTTTAGTGTTTGCTATACCATCATGTGCCACATAATGACGTTTCCATCGATAAAAGACCACGTACACCACAGGGGTCCCACAATATTATAATACCATATTGTTTACCGTACCTTTTCTGTGTTTAGATATACAATACTTACCATTGTGTTACAATTGCCTGGAGTATTCAGTACAGTAACATGCTGTGCAGGTTGGTGGCCTAGAAGAAATAGGCTACACCACGGAGCCCAGGTGTGTAGTAGGCTGTACTATCTAGGTTTGCATAAGCACACCCCATGACATGTGCACAATGACGAAATCGCCAAAGGATGCATTTCTCAGCGCTTATCCATGTTGTTCAGCGACACCATGACTGTACTCCATTATCACATTCCTTTTGCAAATGAGTTTTAATGTATTCGCGATCTCATTGCAGAAAGATTTCACAAAGCACAAAAGAGCAAGATGAAAACTAGAAATCCAATCATTCAACCACCCAAAGCTAAGACTGTCAATATCATTTCATGTATTTCCTAACAATTTTTGTCACACATATACAATATTGAGATTAGTATAATAAACTCCCATGTATCCAGCTTCAACAATTTTCAACTCAAGGCCAAATTTGTTTTAACTCTACCCTTACTCACATACCTTCTTCCTCCCTATGGTATAATTTTGAAGCAAATCCCAGATATCATAATAAATAATCAAATATTTAACAAGTATCTCTAAGATTGCCCTGCATATTTTAATATAGTGATGTTAATATGGCATATACAACATCACATATACCTATTTTCATCTATTTCAGATTTCAAAAAAAGTTTTTTAAATTGAAAATTTTTAAAAATTTTCCCCTATGGCTTTTTTTCAACCTATTGCCACCATCAATACCAAGACCCCCCACATTATCGTGGAAAGAAAAGATTGTAGACCCAGTGCTTCAGCTATTGTCTCTCACTTTAGTTGCCCTCTCTTTAAATGGGATAATACATATAAAAGGCTTTGTATAGTACCTTACACAAATAGGAGCTCTTTGATTGGTAAGATTAATAGTGTTAAAAACACCTAACCTCCATTCAGGATCTACAAGTCAGCATTGCACTAAACACCTTACATATGTCATAGTAGGTAAATGTCCCAGCACCTCTGCAAGTGAGTAGTAATATTATCCCCATTTCATAGAGGAGGACATTGAGGTTTGAAAAGTACGAGTAACTTACCCCAAATCACAGAAATAACAAAGGGCTGATGAGATGTTAGCACATCTTGTCTAATTCCAGAGCCCATGCTCTTAACCTCTATGCAAATTTTATATCATATTTTCAAGTTTTCCATAAGGAACCCAATCTTTTACACACAAAAACAGAATTGATAGATTGACATGATATTACCTAGCACAGGCCTCACCTCCATCCAAAATTCATCAGAAGTATTCAAATTAAAGTCAAATTTAGGTGAATATATTAGGACACTCAACAATCAAGTAATCAAATTCTCCTTGTAGCTGTACAAGAGTGTATTTTGCCATATTTTATTCCTTGAAGACATCTGTAAATTGTATCAGAATATATCTTACTATGGTAAATTCAACAAGTCTAACCCAAATTTTAACTGGATCAGTAAATTTTCTTTGATGTATGATCAACATTAATTTGAACAGTATCTATGAAAGTATATTAGGGAAAATGTTCTAAATTCTGACCTTCTCTTTTTCTCTCAGTCTCTATGATATCATACAGATTTGTGCCAAGCACCATCAGAGGAACGTTTATGAATTTTTTGACACTGTTCAATGGATTTGGGTGTTTCACAGGGGCACTGTTGGTGGAGTTGCTGTATCTCATCTCAGAAGGTAAAAATAGGTTCACGGCATTCTTATGTGCATTGATTTGATGACTGGGGAACTGGGAGACCAAACCTTAAGAGAGGGGCTTTGCCAGTGTAGTCTTTTTTTCTAATTGATCCACTTTTGTAATTAAGATAGAAGTAAGATAGGAAATAGACTCTTGCTGTATTCATTAATTTCTAGAACTAGTGTTTCTTTTGATGGGAGGAGGTAATTACAGAATGTCACTTCTCATGAGATTCTGTCTACTGTCTTTCTTTAGTGTATTTTAAAGCAAACTAGTCATTATATTCTTATTAGTTCTTTCAATGAGGCCGTATTTAGTAATGCCCCATAGCTGGCATAGGTAATCCTCAGAAAAGGTAAGACTTGTGTAAATATAAGAAGGTTGGGTACCTGGAGGATCTTTATTCCTCATCATTCACCACAAATATTGTCTATGCAACCAAAGAGAAATTGTGAGTTGAATAACAAACAATCTTGAAAATTTCTCCCAGTGGAGATTTTGGTCAGAAGGAAAAAAAAAAAAAAAACTGAAAAATTCAGATGCAAATATTAAAGTACTATCCATTAGTTACATGTATTAGTGAAAAAAATCAGACAAGATGACAATAATGATTAGCTGTCCCAGTGAAATGTCTCTGGCTGTATTTTAATTTCTCAGACTTTTTCCTTTATTTGTTCTAAAATGCCACTTAAATGATTGATGGTTGCCAAGTTCGAACCCTGTCCTTTCCTTAGTTATCTGAGAAAGTTAAGATAAAGCATGTATTAAATATTTACTATATACTAGGCCGTGTACTACACAGAATTATGTGAGATATGGTTCAAGTTTTCCAAGAACTTAAATCCAACTTGCCATCTTGCTATAACTAACTGAACTGCTGCAATTAGCTGACTTCTCTGGTGATCAGATTCTTTGTATGTCAACAACAGACAAAGCACTGGCATCAAGATTTTATAATATAATCTGGAAGAGTCTTACTCACATCTGTACCTAAAGCATTTTAGGTGTTGAACAAGCTTCCTTTCTTCACATTCTTCAGTGAAGATGTTTCTACAATTTTGCTAAAAATAAAAATTCTATCATCAAATCACATTGGATATATGCATGAAGAATTTCAAAGTCAAATATCACTACCAGTTCATCTTTTATATAATTCTAAAGTTTTCATATGAATGCTTAGGCAACTTACTGAGAGTTAGACCGAACTTCTTAGGTTAAGTTCTCCCCAAGATTGCCCCCACTTTAGACACTGGCCACAAGTTTGGAGGTTCTCAAGCTGTCATCACTTCTGACAATTTGGCTATAAATTTGGGATTTATAGCCCCCAAATTATCAAACTCTCTCAGTTTTGATAATGTGCTAGAATGACTCACAGAACTCAGGAAAGTACAATACTTATGATTATATCTTTATTATATAGCAAAAGAAAAAAATGCAACTCAGAATAAGCCAAGGGGAGAGGCACACAGAGTAAGGTCTAGGAGCATCCCAAAAGTAAAGCTTCCTTCATCCTCAGAAAAATGCAATACCTGCCAAACACATCAGTGTATGACAATATAAATACTGTCAACCAGGAAAGCTCACCTGAGCTTCAGTGTTCAGCGTTTTTATTGAGGCTTTTTTACATAGGCACTATTGACTGAATCATTGGCTGTCTAGTTAAACTAAATCTCCAGTCTCCCTTTCCCCCCAGAAGTTGGGCTAATATCAGTGGCTCAAAGCCTCAATCCTCTAACACATGGTTGGACTTCCTTCTTGGCCACCCCCCATTCAGAGTCATCTCATTAGCATAAACTGTCAGGAGGGGTCTAAGGGTCCCACCATAAATAACAAAAATACAATCACTCAGAAAATTCAAAGGATTTAGAATTTACACCCAGGAACCAGGCCAGGCAATTTTTTTATTTACACACGGCTATTCTTGTAAAAACAATTCACTGAAAACTTAAAATTTTTATTGAAAGTCGGAGTAGCATGGTAGAAGCTTTTACATGCATTATTGCATTTATTGCAATGATGTAAAGGTGATAATATTGTTATCCTTATTTTTTACATGAAATACCTAAAGCATAAAAAATAAAGTATTCCAGTTATCACAATTAGTATCTAATAGAGTTCTAATCCTCTTAGCATTCTGAAATTAATTCTAACATTGATTTCAATACAATTCACAATACAATTCACCAAGCAACTACTGACCCGGGAGTCCTCGAATGTAAGGACATTTTAATGAAATTACACATTTGTTACTGTTGCAATATAACCTCTTTGGTTGCAGGTCTGCATATAAGATAATATTGGTAATATTTTAGATATAGTACAAAGATGGGGAAACAAAAAGTTATATAATTTTGGTAAACTCTGGTGCCCATCACAAGAAAAGTTACCAAGGGCACATGGTAAGGATTATCTTAGCAAGATGGGATGTGGGGTAGGGTACTTTCTAAACTTATGCTCAAGAGAATCCCATTTAAAACACCACTAATCAATTTAAGTTACTTCTTTTAAGGGTTTTTTTTTCTTTTTGTAATAATGTTTTGTCACATAAAATCATATCCCAGTAAATTAGAATCTTACAGGTGGATGTTGCCTTAGAGATCATCTAGTCTGACATTATACCACAAAATATTAGAATAATAGAAGATGTACTAGCATAATCCAGTGTCCAGAAAAATTCTCTACTTTGAGATATAACCCAAGTGTTCCCATCTATTGATAACTACGTTCTACAGGCTAGGTCTAATTTTCCATTCACATAACAACTCCTCAAACATTTAATAAATACTCAGAGAAATAACATGCTATAATGGTTAAGAGAATAGGTTCTGGAGTCAGACCACCTGAATTTGAATCCAAATAGTCTAGCTGTGTGCTTAGTTTCTATGTCAGTCATGCCATCCATGATACATAATTTATCATTTTGTTCTGAGGATTAAGTAATCGATATACACAGTAAGTGTTCAATAAAGATAGCAATCATGATCCCCTTCTATTTTATAGACAAATCAGCCCAATTCTTTCCCTGACTTTTCACTATGAAGGCCCCTCCATCCATTAAACAAACAACAACTTGTCAGTATTTGTCTTAAAATATGGTTTCCGAAATTGAACATAATACTCAAGATGGGTACAACTAGGATACGTAGATCACTTTTATCAACCTAGCCTCTCTCTCTTTCTCTCTTTCTGTCTCTCTCTGAATGCCAGCAAGGATTATGTGGACTTTTTCAGTAGTTCCATCATGCTTACGGTCAATTAAAACTTGATTTTTTTTTTTTTACTTTCAGCAGTTGCTCTCAGTTCACTTCCACTCATCTCATTTTTTTCTAATTAAATGCAGGGCATTATCTTTATCCTTAATAAATGTCAATCCATCATCCTAAAAAATAGACATGTTTGAAACTTGATTCTATGTCACCTAGTGAATTACTAATCTTTACTTCTTTACTAGAAGTAAAGATTCTGTCAACTGTAAATTGGCCAGCAAGTTCCTAGACTTCTTTCAGGTAATTGATAAAATCGTTGAATTGGACAGGACCAGAAACAGAGCCTTATGCAAAATTCCTAGATCTCATGGCAAGTTAGTGACAATTACTTCGTTAATCCTATCCCTTTGGATGTAATCACCTCCCAATTCACCTAAATACTGTCATTCAATCCACACGCTTTCTCCATCATTCCCTAAATGACATCACAGGAGACTTTATCATATGTTTTCTGGGAATAGGATAAGTCCGTGTTTTGACAGTCCCTTTAGCCTTCATACTAGCAGTCCTCAAGAAAGGAGATGATATTCATTTAGGTGATTTGGTTCTAGTGATCCTTTGCTGGCTAATAATGGCTAGTTAGGGGGCTCTAAAAGAAAGTGACCATAAGCATGACTTGGGGTGCAGTGTCTCTCTAATACTGTTTTCTCCTAATTTAAAAGGAAATGATGCATTTCACTTTTCTCAACGATGATGAGAGGATAAAATTAAATAAGGTATTTGAAAATTTCAATGCCGGGGATTATTTTTACATATAAGGTTAAGTCACACACATTATAATGACTTACTTGGCTAAAAACAAGATCAGTCTATTCAATCAAACAACCAGACCAGGGTTTTTATCGACAGAACCAACCAACACTATAACTATACATTTAGGCAGGCACCTTACATCTTTCAGCATTTCGTTTAGCATATAGGATATTTTCAACCTTTAAGGATTCATGTCAGCTGAGCATGTGTGCATGTGAGTGTGTGAGTGTGTTAGTGTATGATTGGAAAAGAAGATCAGCTATCACAGTCTCCCAGTCTCCAAGCTGCATTAGTCATTTTTAGCACCATGATGGAGAATGGTGTGAATGGGGTAAATTCAAAAGATTTCTCAAAACTTGACTGTGCAGACAGATAACTGTTAGAGTGACATTTTCAGTACAAGTGAGAAAACTGATCCTTCTGGGATCTCTAACTCTGAGTGCTTTAAAGGAGAAGTACAAGACTAAACCCATCCTCCTACACTAATCATTTCAGGAATAGTTTATCTAAAAGTAGCAATGCTAATATAAGAGAGTGAAGAAGTCAGTCAAACTGCTTATTTCAACTATATCCCATTAGCGACAAGATCAATTTTCTCACACTCATGAGTTCGAACTTACCTTTTGACAAAAATAACAAAAATCGCGGTGAAAAATGACATCTTAGTTATGGACGAGCAGGTGATTGAAAGATCCAAAGCAAAATGTCTAAGAGAAAAAGGATAATTGGGCAGAATCAAGAGGTCGAGCTGTACGTCCTCTTGTCCCTTTTAGTTCCTCCTCCTCAGAATTCAAGAAAGGAGCAAAGAATTTAGCTGTTTAATTCCCATCAAGATCATTTTAAATTAAAAATGAGATCTTCTAAAATTCTCATTTAAATGTCTATGATTATTGGGGCCGCTGACAGCCATGTCAGCATGAATCACTGAGTTGCTCTTTAAACAGGAATTTGCAGTTGCAGTAAACTTGAAAGAAGACAAT